GTAAATAGTGCTCATTTAATCTGTACAAATTAACAATTCATGGAATGTGGTCTGGACCTGGTCATACTTGTATAGCTTCCTTTTCTCAACAGTGTGTAAAATTCAATACCATTGGATAAATTAATGACACTATCAATAGAATTACCTTATGTCCCATGGGGATGATTGATAATCTTCTCTATCCTAAAATTACAATGAAATCTCTAAAGTGAACCAGAGATGTGGATGAAGCATAGATATATGAGTGAAATTTGGGCTTACATTCATTCTAGCACAAAATGAAGAACAATTAGTTCTTATGAGATGCTCAATGCTCACCCTCATGAAAAAATCACGGAAGATATGGGTCTACAGCAAAGTATGGTCAAGAAAGTAGATAGTGTCTGGCTATCAAAAGAAGTAACATCAGGCCTTGTCTTCAAACAAGCAGCCATCTAAATGAGACTTCAACTAAGTCCACATGGAAGAAGCACACCAGCCTGTATGATCCAAGGATGATTAATAAAATCCAAAGGAGGTAAAGGTATCAGAGCTTAAATTGTAAACACCCAGTTGTCAGAAGGTTTTGCATGACAGTGGGATAGCAAAATCCATTTGAAAGATCTCTACATTAATTAAACCTCTGGTGTATACCCTCTGACCATAGTTTAGGGATGGGAATAGCCTTGATATCAGACAGAGTGTATTGTAAACTTAATAATGGCAGATGTAATTAGGTTAAATTATAATATGTGATCAATTGTTCTTTTTTTTAAATCATTTTATTGGGGGCTCAATTGTTGTTCTTTTTGACCCATTTTAAATGTGTTCACGTTTTTAATGTGCTCTCAATTGATTTATTTCACTGATCTATTTTGTTATTGTTTGTTGGTCATTTTTTAAATTATTTATCTTTTCTGTTTTTCTTTCTTTGTTTGTATTTTTTCTAGTATATAAAATCTAGGATAGGCAAATCCATAGAGACAGTATCTGGGTTAATGGCTTGTTGGAAAACATGGGAGGGCAGGTTGGAGGGAAAGGAGGAACTAATACTAAGTGCAAGAAGGAAGAAAATGTTCTGGAAATGATTGCAGTGATTATTACACAACTCTTTTAAATATGACTGAATTATGGAAATGGGTAATATGTGAATTATATAATAATTTTTGAATTTAACATTTACCATTTGTTTTCCCTTTTGACCCATTTTTAATTTGTTCTAGTTTTCACTACTTTCTGTTTTCTTTTGTATTGAGTTTTTCTTTGTTTTATTTTGTAGTTGCTGTTGTTTTCTATGATTTCTTTATATGAAATCCAGGAGACATAACTCTATAAAGACGGTAAATAGATTGGTAGTTTCTTAGGGTTATGTCAGAGAAGTTGGGAAAATAGGAAGCTAATATTAATGGGAACAAGAATTAAGATGATTGCACAAACTCTTTTTAATACATTTATACCATCTCATTGTATGGTATGTGAAATATATGTCAATAAAATGGTTTTTGTTTTTAAGAATTTGTTGTAACAACTCACAGAACTCACAGAGAGTACCATACTAAGGATTAGAGATTTATTATTGCAAAAGGATACACAATTCATGGTGATCTTGAAGAAGATATCCATAGGCATAGACATGGAGGGATAGATGATAGATAGATAGATATAAAACAAATTATTTTATTTCCAGTTATCATAAATTACAAACTACCTTTATTTTATTCATTCATGTTCCTAATCAGTTAAAAATATATATGGCAGACAGTTACTGGATAGGGCCTTTTTATCTTTTACATCAATTCCTCCTTCACCTAGAGAGAGCACACTACTTTTATGTTAGAAAACTAATACCTTCTATTTTCAGTCCATGTAACTAAGGGCAACTGACTGACCCATATGTAAGCATATGAGTTGGTTCTTGAAAATCACTAGTCCCAACAGTTTAGCATATGTTTGATTGAGGGATGCACATAGGCACATGGCTCAACTCAGTGCAGTGAGATTTAGCCATGGAGTTTTTGCTGGACCTGTTTGGGAAGGAAGCAGAGGAGTGACTGAGATGGTTGTACATGAGGCTAGAGCTACTCAGAGCCATGTAGCCACCAGAGGAAGAGATAAAGCCAGTTAATGAAGGCAGTCAAAGGAAATCAAAGTTGAGAGAAGAGAAACTAAGTCCCAAGGCAGATGTATTTTTCATTCTGGCACCCAAACAAGAACATCTTAGGACATTTCAGCTACCTGAGGCAGTCCCTGTATTTAGAAGTCTCTATTTAGAAGTCAATTTGAGAGAGATTCTATTCCTTGTAATTGAATAAGTATGAAGGGACTTCCCAAGGTTTGAGGAAAAGTGGAATTAAAATATAATAAAATATTTTCATGAACTTTTTGATGGCTCCTTGTACTTCTTAACATAGAAAGTATAACAAGGAGAGGTCTGAGAGGCCGGCCCCAATCCCAACTACATGAACACCTGCCCCTCCCCCCAGAAGAATTTATTTCAGAGGACAGCACTGAAGCTGCAGCTCAAGGAGAGGGACATGTGTGATCAGAGCACGAGGGAGCGAATGAAGGTGGAGGAAGAGAGAGTGGAGCACATCCTGGCCCACAAAGCCTTGACGACTATATTCCCACTCAGAGCAGCCAATCCACAGAGAAGACCACATGGCTCCACTATGAGACATGACGTTCCTTACTGACCCATAGCCCTACAGGGGACAACACTGAAGACACAGTGTGGGAATAGCGCCTGATTTGACCTCACCACACTGAGGCAAAACACTAAGGGTGTGCAAGAGAACAGCAAGGGGAACAGAGCAATGAAGTTCCCACAGAATACCAAAAATAGACTTTGGGGCCAGGACGTGGCACCCCATCGGACTCAATTAAAAACATTCCTAAAGGCCAACAAACAGTCCTTGAACTAACTACAGCCTTTTCTTTGTTGTTGTTTTGTCATTGGCTTTTTGTTGTTTTTTGTTTTGTTGCTTTGTTTTGCTCTGTCTTGTTTTTGTGCATGTTATTATCTC